AGAGCTGTGTTATTTGTGAGCTCTGTTTGCTGCCCCCTTCTCCTGGCAGGGGTGTTATATCCACAGCAGGAGCAGTAAATGTCTCAGGAATCTTGCCACCACCTTAGTTTTACACATTGCTTTACAAACTGCTCATCCTCCCTCATTTGTGGGAGTGAAGGGTCATGGCTGCATGTCTAAAATACTCTGTTATAACTGAGGTTGGGAAATTGAAAATATCAAATAGACTTGAAGTGAAGCTGCCAGGAGAATACAGACAGGATACAATTGTCCAGTGATGCCAACAACCTGCCTTCCCTGAAATACCTGACAAGAAGCAGTCCTTCCTTCCTTTTTTTTTTTTTTTTTCCCGTGGGAGTCGCCTGCCTGCCGGCCCAGCACTCACTTTAGAGGACAGGGTGCCATCTAGTGAATTTTGGGCCGTGCTCTGCCTGTGCAGCACTGCATCCGTGCTGTACCTCCTGCCACGGCAGGGAAACCAGGTTACAGGGAGGTAAAAAAGGCAGACGTGCATGGCTGCACAGCATCTGCCTGTCCAGGACAGACAGAGGCATCCGTGAGCCTGTGCTGGAGCAGTCCTGCCGTCACAAAAAGTGACTCTATAGAGAAAAACATATCAAAATGAACCCCAAATAATGTTAAACATTCTGTTTTGTGTTTTCAGTTGTGGACAAGGGTTTTTGTTTTAAAGATTATTGTCTCTGAAATGGATTTAAATGTTGCTCCTCTAGAGGTCTGGGAACTCCAAAACACCACAGGTGGTGTTCACTGAGATTCACAGGAAAGGATGTGCAGAACTTGAAATGCAGATAGCTGCTTTGGGGGAATGATGACTAATGAGAATGGTGCTGTTTGTTCTCCATTATTGTTTACTTGGAGGGTAAATTTGTTTCCAACAAGAAACAAAAAGCCAAGAGAAAGTGGAGCCTCCGGAGCAAAACAAAACCTCAAAGCCAAAGACAAGTGTAAGCCTACAAAGGACAACATTTTGATTACCAGACAGGCAACAAGCATTATTCAGGTACTTCCCAGTGGTCCCTGGAACTTAAAAAAAGTCTTTGCTTCCACCTTTATGCTACTGAATAAGCTCACCATCAGAACCTCTGCACTCTGCCAAGCCAGGGATGCTGTGAGGGTGCTGCAAAGCCCTGGGAGCAGGGGTACTCCGAGGGTGCCCTGCTGTGCACAAGGCTCTATTTGCTTGCCACGAGTGGTTTTTTGATGAGAATATCAAGGCAGAAAGAAGCCAGCTGAGCTCCTGGGACCCAGTCTGGTGGAAAATATCCCAGTCTCCTTCTTGCAACAAGGATAAAGTTGATGTAGCTCTCAGCAAGGCACAGTTATCATAGCGAGGTATCACTCGCCCTCCTCTCACATGACAGTGGCTCTTTGAAAGATGGAGCTCTGTTCTCAGCTCATACAGGAGCAGGAGATAAGGGTGAAGAACCTTATCAAGCTGTGAATTCCTCACTGCTTAGGCTGCATCATAATTTAAACCGCGACTTTTGCATTCAGCAACAGCCACCGCAAACTTGAATAGCCCTCTTTTGAATGCAAAAAGAAAATAACCTGTAAATAAAATACACCAAATAAATCCGTCTGCTGCTTTCCTTAAAGGCTTTTTCCAAAGCATTGTGCACTTCATCGTATTAAATGGAATAATTTCTCTTTTATTCATCTGTTTTAATAGAAAGGGCAATAACCAAACTGAAATGAATTGTCTCAGACTATAAAGTACACAAGCAAGAGTGCTGTTTTCTTTGGTTAAAAACATATGGTTCGACTACTTACATAGAGAAGTGTTCCAAAATTTATCATTTCATGTAAAATACAAGGAAAACAAACTCTACCCTCTGTGAAACCAAGACTATCATAAACTCCTAAAGCCTTGTGCAGTTTGACAGAAAGTATACAGCAAGATGTATAGGGAGAAATAAAAACCTGTCTGGGGCAGATTAACATGAATTTAAACTATCTTGCACTGATACAAGGGATTTTTTTCCTGCAACTTTATGTATAAACAAGGAAAATTAAGCAAATCATTAATTAGACCTGAACAGGTCTAATAGTCTCATATGAAAATCCTCCAGTTAGCAGACTTTTAGTGACATTACACAGCTCCAAAAGTGAGGATATTTTAGCCAATAAAACACACTGGAATTCCTCTTGTTTGCTTTCTAGCATGTGACCTTTAGGATTTCCATTTTCCAGCTTTTCTATATATCCAGGACATAAAGATGCCTGTAAATTCAATACTCCAATGGCTTTCAGAGAAGCACCATGATTTTGCAAGGGCTCATGACAGCAAGTTTTTTGTTGTTGTGCATTTTTTTCAGGTTCTTAATACCAGATACGAAATCACAAGTATCATTATGGCCTTCTTTTTCCTAAAATCAAGTTTTATATTGGTAATGCAAAGAGAACCAAGGCCCCAGACTGACAAGACCTCATTTTAACTGATCTTTCAGCAGCCACTGTCATTTATTAGCAAAGAATTTGAACGTGCAAGACATTCTGCATGATTTTTATCCTGTGCTTCTCTCTTCTGAGGTAAAGGGCTTACTATACCAGTACTGCTGTAAAAAGCAAGTCCACTGGAAGCACTGAATTCCTCAATGAAGAACTGGGAGAGGGAGATGTGCTCATCTGTGCTCAGGGATTTGTTGCCATGCTTCCAGTACAGCATGAGATCGTCTTCATTGTATGCATCTGTGAGAAAGCAGAAATTGAAGTTATAAAGTTGCTACAGTAAATCACTTCCTCTTTTCCTTCCTTATGGAGAGGAGACCACTCAGCTACCCTGGGAAAACCTCAAAGAGACATTTTTCACACTAATTTGTCAGTTGACATGAAAAAAAGTTTGCAAGGACCATGTTCCATCTTGTTCCAAGTGCAGCCCAGTCCTGTGCCCTGCCAGCAGCTTACAACTAAGGCAGGGGTGAAAAAGCAGATATTTCACAGTAATACAAGCACCCTTTTTCATTTTTCCAACAAGCCAAATACTGACATTTTCTTTTACTTTTAATCTGCGTATTTTTTTCTCAGAGAAAAAACCCTCATGCCTTTTAACAGATTTTTAGATTTAGGCCTTGGAATAAATACCTTGGAATAAAGCAGGGTGCATCATGGTTTTTCCACTTTCCCAAAGCTCAGTGGGGTCTGGAAAGGTCCCAATTTTTTTACAGTTTAATATGTACATGCTGAAGGGTTCAGATCACACATCAAAGTAAGTGAAAGAGCTATTATGCACAAGATGGAGTGCTGGTAAGAATGCACATGTGAAGAACAATTAGGAATTAAACTTACAGCTTTCCAGTTCTAAAGAACAGTTCTGTGTGTCCAGAGGAAACCTACTGAAATCCATGAAGCACATAGCAGAGACTGTTATTCTGAAGAAAGGAAGAGAAAAACAGAAATGAAAATTTTCACATTTTCTTAGCTATGCACATATCTTAGTGAGATCCCCAACCAATCTGCTGTTTAGAATCCTATTGATTGAGGTTTTCTGCCGTTTTAGATGCTTCTGAAATAGCTTCAAGATGGTGAAATAATGTTAAATCAGTGACAGATCATCTCTTTTTTTAAAAAACATAAATAGTCTTTATTATTAAATACATTACCTTTGATTTTTAAACTATATTTGGCCCAATCCTTCACACATTAGCCTTTCACACATTTTGCTTTGAAGGTTTACACTTAGGAAGATTAACAAAGGGAGTTCACATTTCTTGACTTGATTTCTCATAGACTGAAGTAGATACTACAGATTAGAGCAAATATTATTCCAAATGCTTTCTTCCCAGCTAGAATAGTTATAATATTTAATTGCAAAAAGAGATTAGCTGCAATTTCTGGAAGCTTACTCTCCTCTTAAATGAAATGCTTAAAGAAATCTAGGCAAAGACTATTTTGCATTCCACCTGTTTTTTCACATATGTTTAGAGGACAAATATCCCTTTGTATTTAATAAAGACCAAAAAAAATTGAACTTGCTAGGGGCAGCAACTTAAATATGGTAAATGTTGCCAAATTTCCCTTTCCTATCACAGCTTGCATATCATTTGATGGTTTAGTTCAATTTTTCAGATTTACCCAAATGGAATCCTACAGGAATTTCAGTGGGGGTTATACTGTTTATACAAGTGCCCTTTGAAAACCTGTGATCAGTAACCACACTGTAGCTGAATTTTACAAATATAAGACTTTACTGGCTTGAAATGAGATCCTAAGAGTGGGACATGCATAGGACTTCCAACTAGGAATGTTGTTTCCATCCCTCAGCTATTGACTAAAGGACCAGGGGAACAAGAAGAAAAGAAAGAAAGACTATTTTAGCAACAGATGTGGATTTTTGTTTCACTTTGCTTCAATAAAATCCTGGGTGCCAGGCACTGAAGAAAAACTGTGAAATATGAAGATTCATTCCATGTAAGCATTTGGAATATAATTTAATTACTACATGTCAAACTGGCAATACAAAAAAGAGTGTTTCAAGGCACATCTAAGGAATATATCCGATTTCTCACTTGGAGAATCACTGATTATATACCCCTTAGTGGAGGGGTATAGTTCCTCTGATTCCTTCTTCTCAAGAATTGTGGAAATGAATACAGCAATAAAAAAACACACTTCATTGTTCCTTACTGTCAGTGTGACTCTTGAACATACACTACTCTAAAGTGGTGTACAGCTGTTGTTGTGAGGATTTCTGCATGTCCTCATGACAGAGGAGATAAATTCATTAATTGTTGGAACAATTATTACACAGCCACAATATCAAATGCTCCCATAAATCTTCAAACTGTCCAGATTGGATGAAATATCACCTTCTGTGCACAGAGCTAATTAGTAACAAACAGTATTTCTGCAATGCACAGGCTTCAGGTTCCTTACCCTTGGGGGAAAATTCCTCTATGAAAACTATTTCTGCCACATCATCCAAATCTCCTTTCTAAAGCAAAGCAGTATCATGCAGAGGGAAGGGAGACACATTAATGACCTTGCTATTCCAGTTCTGGAATTGCTGTTTTACTTTCCAGTTCCTTTTAGTCCCACAACACTGCTGGTATCAGCACCAAAAATCTGCTCTCTGTGCCTATCTAGAGCCCTGGTTACTATCACTGGCATGTTAACTGGTAAGCCAGGGTGAAAATAGCTGAGACAGTTTTAAAAGACTCAGGAAAAAAAAATAAAACAACCAAAACCATTGTTTTTTCTTTGTTAATAATTTTGGGTTTTACTGTACTCAGCAGCAACACTGCTAGAGCCACTGGCAAGGAATTAACACTTGATAAACTCTCTTGACAGGAAACAATATATGAATGATAGGAAAAAAAAAATATGTTTTCAATCCTAAATTTATTTTCCCACTGGCACACTGGTCACCAGTTTCCCATTATGTGCTGCCAGGGGACTAATGCCAGCCCAGTATGAGAAACTTATCTGCAAGTATTTCCAGTCATTTCAATTACAGCCAATACATGACAATTGCAGTCATGGATTTTCTTAGGGAAAGGTGTTTCCTCACCTCAGACTGAAGAGGACGTTGCCATCAGGGTACACTCTGAGCATGATGTTTTCCACAGTTGTATCATGGATGAAAGATCTTTTGGAGTGCACAAAAAACACATCAGGTACCCAGATCTTTTTTATCAGCCGTCCATCGAAAGTCATACTTTTGTTTTTGTTGCTACGGAATGAGAGCCTCTCATCCTTCCAGTAGTGTCTGAGATACAAAGTCATTGTGAAGTCCTTGGTTTCATTAAAAATAAAAGGAGACAATGCTTGGTTTAGTCAAGTGCAACAGAAAACACTACAAATTATATATGCAAAAGATCCATTTCATCTCTGGACATCATCTGAAAGATCCTTAAGAGAGGAATTAAGTACCACTCATTGAGTTTGAATGTAAATATTGGTGAGATTTTGGTTGTTTGTCTTGTCCCTGGAGTCTGAGGTCAGACTTCATTTATCCTAATATAAACCTACTGAGTATTTCAGTGGTCTTCTGGATTGGGCCAGCTGTGCAGTGACAAAGAACCTTTAAAACCAACCAAAGGTAAATGGAAAAAAAGGTTTCCTCTGGAAATCTTCACAGTTTTCTCCAAGAATGGACTGTGGTTCCTTTGAGGTTCCTTTACAAAGGGATTAATTTGAGTTCTTCATGAGCACTTGGTCAATTTTCAAAACTCTCTACATTTTGTATAAATTATTGTACAGGGGCTAAATTAGTACATTTATTAATTAATTCATAATAAAGAAACAATTCAATGAATATCATAAGAGTAAGCAATTAGATTTTAAAATAATTACAATAACTACAATATTCTTTTAATATAAAACATTTTCACAAATATTTTATGATCCTATTTAGAGAAACATCACAACTGCAAATATACATGTGGGAAGAGATGGAGAGGATGCTGCAAACCCAGTTGAGATTCTGCACAGCCTGACTGCTCTGTGTTCACCTATATAAATTTTGTGTTATTAGGCAGGCACCATTTATCTCAGTAGAACAATTGCTTCTGATAAGAATACTATGAAGAGAGTTAGATCTTCCCCTGTACAATGATTTTATGGCCCTGTAATACAATTTTATGATTTGGGTAGGTTTGTAAAGGAGTGCAGGAGTTCATACTGATAATATTAATGACAATTTGTGCTGAAGCATGAACAGCCTATATTCCAGCATCACAGGCTCTAAGTGCAGTGTCTCCTTCCCAGGACCATTTCTGGAGCTGATGTTTCTCTTTCCATTTGTTGTGATCACAGCTCCACCCACTCCACAATTATGGAATGTTCAGATTTGCATAGGCAAAAGAAGCAAAGGACACGAAGCCTCATCATGCAAAGTGCAGAGAGTACTGAGAACTCCTGTGGAAGCCCAGGGTGTTTATTGAATAGCTGGAGTTTTCAAACCAGAACACTGCCCACTCTGAGCTGTTCTTCTGGCCCAGGGAGAAATTCAACACTTACTAGTCTAAATGCATGCTTCAAGGCAAGGAGGTGCTCTTTAGGGTTTGCTTTCTTTAACTACATTTTATATATCATCCATTCTGAACCCCCTGTATTTTTACTGAAATCCTTTATTCCAGTTCTACTCACCATGTCAACTTCAGATATGCTGTCAATGCTCTCCACCTGCACATCAATGCCCACAGGTATTGGTGACCCTGCATGGGAACAGAAAGAGGGATGAGGAGCAAAAATCCCTATTTTTAAAGGGAAGACTGTGCAACACCAGCAGCATGCAGAGAGTGCTCCATCCCAGCATTTACTGCATTCTCTCCACTTTAGAACGCTGAATGATAAAAGGCAACAAGTAAAACCTGATGCTAAGCAGCTCTGAAAATAAGCACAAAATCTTCTGTGTTCTTTTTTTCAGACACACCAGTTGTTTTTGGCACAGCAGTTTGGCCAGCAGTGTGGCAGTGTCCTTGTGATGCCACAGCTAATGAACCCCTTGGAGTGCAATTCAAAACCACCACAGGAGAAAGCTGAGTAAATACACAAAATACATCAAAGATTGCAAAGGTTTCTCATTGCTTCCAATGCTTATTCACGAACAACATACTTATTGTGACTCTTATAATCTTTAGTTACTGAACTATTTAAGGTTTGGTATAGCTGTTTATGAAAAAGCATGGCTTGCTCACTACCTCACAAGGGAAAACCTGTACACAGAATAATCATGTTCTGTCACTGTGTTGTGTATTTACTGAGTGCATATTTAGGACAAAGTTACTCCAAATCAATTCAAAATTACAGCCAAATATGAAAATATTTCCACTCTTTTCAGTGTGAAATATCTAGAATGAAGGATCTAGTTCTACATGGGTTATGTCATTCCACTAATTGATTAATTACTTCCTTACAGGGGAGGAAGAGAGGAGCATTCACATGTGCCTATATCCACCACCACCCCACGAATATTCTGCATTTGACATGAAAATGATTAGTAATTACTGTATACAGGATTCCAACCACTTCTGTCAAAAATAGCCAGCTAAAATACTTTTAAAGTACGCATTACAAATAACCAGTTAAAAACATGAATACAAGGAAGTCTGAACAGCAACAGCTTTTCTAAATTGTCTTTTTCTTGTCTTTTCTTTTTAGCCCTGTCAAGCTAAAATAGTCCAGGAGCATCACTCTTGTGATAACCAGCCACAATATTGTGTCCCTTTTTGGAATTATCCTTAAAATAGCAGCCTTCGAGGATTACACAGCTGCCTCCAGTTCTTACCAGTAAAGATCTTGAACTATTTTAGAGGTATTTTTAAATCTGGCTCAGTAATCTCTTGATTTTACTTGTCTTTTTTTTAATGGGGAGTGTGTCCCTGCACAGAACAGATGAAGATGCATTGTGCATGGGAAAGCAAGGTGAGATGTGCTCAGACTTAGCAGGGGACACCAGAAAATATGTAGGCACTGACAAGAGCTGGGCTCTTCAGCTCAGAAATTGTGTCTCTCTCTCTGAGAGGAATGCCTCCCTCAGTCTCTTGGCCAAAGCCCAAAATAAGATTCGGGACTCTAGACAGCAAAGTTTGTTAGTAAAACACCAGACAGCAATTTGGAAAATGCTGCTTCTTCTGGAGAATAGAGACAGCAAAAGACAGCTGCCCCAGAGGCTGATACACAAGGGTATTAATGAATATATTCAGCCAGACTCCTTCATACAAAACAACAGAAATTTTTATAGCTCTCCTAAACTAGTTTTGCCCATTTCCTGCTTTGTCTTGATCACAACACACAAATAGTTTATTTACACTAAATACTGACTTGTGCCAAACACTGGTACAAAAGTGGCTGCTTGTCATCTGAGTGGAGTTCATTCATTCTCATCTTTTCTGTATTCCACTGAAATCTTGTAAATTAAACACAGGTTTAGCCAGAGTAGAAGTCATTGTGGAATTTATACCTGATGTAAGCATTGCTCACAAAAGACATTCACACATCCTTTAAATGCAAACAACAATTTATGTTGAATTATGTGGGTGGAACAGGAGGAGAGGGGGAGCAGCACTCAATGTGAAGAAAGGTTTCACCAGCTCCTGAATCAAGGCCAAATCTAAAGCAAATAAAGTTAAACATCTTCCATCGACATTCTTTAGGCAAACAAGGAGCTACACACAAATCATATCCCAAAATCAGACATCTGACTTTCTAAGCCATGTGTCACATGTAGTGAGGAAAAGGCTTTTCTTAGTGACAGCTGCTCCAAGTGTGATGATAGCAGTTCTAGTGTTTTTTGGAATTTCAAAAACTACAGACAATTTCTTACCCAAACAAACATTATTCCACTGTGAGCAAAATTTCCATCAACAATTCATCTCTGGGCAGATACAAAGGAACTGATCACAGAACTAGAAATCAGTGGCAACTTATGGTTATGTTGGTTGCATGCACATAAACCAAAGTGCCACTTATCTATAAATACACACAGAGACACCTGATTCTTTGACAGGACAGCTTGTACTGCACTGGGACCACTATAAAAACATGGTGGTGGTGCCAATGAATAGCATAAAAGAAATCAAAACCTATGGCCAGAAGAAATACAGTGAGCAATTCTAAAGTGAATTGAATAAAAAGGGAACTGCTGCAATTAAATTAATTCCTGATTAGGTAGAAATGCAAGAACTGTAAAACAGACTGCTTGAGAAGAGATTCCTCTTCTTAGTGAGAAAACACTGTCCAGTCAAAACTCACCACAGAGAATTATTAAAGCACATCCCTTACCCCAGCCCTGACCCATCACTAACAGATCACAGCAGCTGCAAATATTTCCTTCCTATTCTGACTCTACTTTGGCAACAAATGCAAGTAGATAATAAAGACAGAAAACACTGCACATATATGCAGCCCTGATCACTGTGCTGTTCAATTTTCTCATCTGGAGCACTTCTTTATCGTTGTCACTAACACATCCAACAAGATACTTATTGGCCTCAGTCTGGTCTAATCCTTCATGGTTTTTGGGAACATTTCCGTGTGTGATTAAAAATCAGCTCCACTAGAAACAGGGATAATTAGCCATTGGGAACAGGCTGCTGGGAACTGTAATTTCTTCATCCTTTGGATTTGTTTTGTCACAAGAGCATGTTTTTCGAAAAAAAACCCCATAATTGCACTAAGATTTGAAAAGGTTCCTAAACCAGCCAAAATAGGAAAGGAATTCACCTACCTCTGGGTCTGCACCACAGCTTTCTCCCTGCTAGATTAAGAATTTCAATCTCTGGCTCACCATCAGACAACAGCATCAAATTCACTTTAAAAAAAAAGCAACCAGAGCAAAGCTCTGGTTTTTATTTCCCAGTTTGACAAAACTGGAGATGGCAGAGAGGATTTTGTTATTAAATTGAGCAGCTTCAGTTGCTTCTGGAGGGTCACTACAAATCATTATTTTAGAGGGATTAGTGATTTTCACAATGGAGGCTCCACAGATTTTCAGGATAATTACTCCTCAGCAGAAAAAAAACAGCAGACAGGTTTACAGACAGGTTTGTCTTCATGCAAAGCCATTTCCAGTCTTTTATTTTAAAGGTGTAAGCATAGCAAAAGAATTCCTTGATGAACATGGAATTTTATTAATAGATACTACATCAGACAAATTCTGTAATACCCTTTTTAGAAGGGATATTATGTAAAAAGGCTATCCTTTTAGCATTTTAAGGATCAATTTCTACAGTAACAATGACTGGTTTAGTAAAGTCCATAATACTTTTATAATAGCCAGACCTTTGGGCACACAGTGCATTGCACCTGAAGATCTATGGGATAAATGTTGAATTTAGAAACAACTGTACCCAGTTGGCTTTGTAAGTGTGTACACTGGAAAAAAAAAAAAGGAAAGTCTAGAGAAAACTGCCAGGATGAGAGAGAGAGACCAGGGGAGAATAAAGATCTGTAGGTGGACTTTGTTGTTAAAAAGGCCTATGAGCCTTTAGAGGAAGAAAACTGGATAGAAATGTAAGCAAGCTCAAGGGAGGTGAAGCTTTGTGCATTTATTTACTTTCTTCTGGCAATGACAGGAACAGGAGAATTACTGACAACAGTATTTTCTTCTTGTTACTACTGCGTTTCTTTCTTATTTATGTAAGAAATGAAGGTGGTCTGGTATTAGCAGTAACCAGCTCTTGAAATGGAAGATTTAGCAATGTGAAAGAAAAAAAATCCAGAGGAAGACTATTAGAGGTTTTGCAAATAATCAAAATATTTCTGCTCCCCTCCTGTCCTGGACCCCTACCTATTCCTTCCAGTAAGAGATGATAAAAAGCCATTCCACTTTCTTCCATGTGAATCTTCACCACAGTGAGGAGATATTTCTCATTTTTCAGGGAGAGCTGTGGTGCAAAAAGAAAACAACTTGGTGGCAAAGAGCTGTTAGAATTGCAGCACTTTTGGAACACACTGGGCCATATTTTCTTTCCTTCTCCCCCCCTCCTTTACCTTCATATGAATGTAAATGTTACTAATTTATTTTGAAGGGGGAGGAAGCATAAAGGGAGAGTGATATAATGGGATGTCCGATCCTCTGAAAATTCAGAATTAATATTATGTTGAATTACAGATTGAGATGCAAATTTTCAGGAAAGACTGCTACCTCTTGACCAGCTAAATGCTGCTAAATTATTTCCATCATTTTTACAACTTGCTTATGTTATTATCTTCTATATTGGCTGAAAAAGAAGAGATCATCAATTTTAAAACTTTAACTGACACACTTGTAGTGTAGGAAACTACAGGTCCTTAAGATACCATGTTAAAGAAAATGTATATACATATACATATATACACACACATGCATACAACACCATGTGGTACCTCGACCAGTACTTTGAAATAAGATAGTTCAGAAAATAAAAGGATATAGATATATAATAGATAGAATAGAAAAAATAGGTATATTTTATATATATATATATTTCTTGCTGAGTTTAAAACTTAGGAATAATCATTCCAAGAAGTGCTGGCAGCATAATTTCATTTCTTGCTTTTTCTCCACTCTCAGTTTAAGCTGCCTTCTCACTTCCAAACCAAACAGGACCATGACATTACACAGAAGGCAACAATCAAACAACCACAACAAAAAATTTAGGAAAGGAAAAAACCACCACCAACTTCCATCAACAACTCAAGAACCTGGCTTGGGGAGTAAGTACAATGCAACAATGTCAAATTTAAATTTTTAAAGTTTGGGTGTACTGAATTGTTGGTTTGCCTCACTTAACCTCATTGTATAATGAACTGCAAAGTAACATTTTTAAAGAGTAGGATCAGCTTGCCAGCAGCTTGCTGGGTTTGCTTCATCTCAATGCTCTGTGTTTGTCTGGCTTTGATCTCTAATCTGCTAATAAACGGACAATGTCAGGACTAAATTTTAAAACCTACAGTCAGAGAGTCAAATTCTGATTGTGCAGCTGGAATAGCAGTGAAATCAGCAGAAGAATGCCCAAATACAGTCATTTAAATGGCTGCAGAGTTGTGTTCATTTGGTCAAAAAATGGATCTCTCACCTCCACAATTATTTCCAGTAACACTACAGCCAGTAGCATCAGCATCCAACAGTTCTACATTTATTTTCCCCATATTTTTCCCTGTTCCCTTTGCTCAGTTTACAAATCAAATTCAGCATGTTCTCCCTCTGTTTTTCCTTTGTATAACTTAATTGTAAGTACTAAAAATTTTGGGTCCTGTGGTCTGCTCATTTGCATTGTGTGTGGGGGGCTGAATGAAATCAAACAAGGCAGAATTAGACTTAAGAGTTCCCTGAACTGAGGAATCTCCAGCAGCTAACTTTTCCTTCTACCTTTTCTCCTAAACTGGTGCAAAGTAATCGACCTTCTCAGGCAAAGCAGCACAGTGGAGCCAGATTAACAAAATTTTTCATTCCAACTACCTGACATACCCAGAAAATCACAATGGGGCACGGGAGAGGGGAGAAAAATTCATCCCTCTTATACAGGTAAAGAATAAATGTTTTTCATCCAGCTTTCCTGATCTGTTTTTTTTGTTGTTGTTGCAATCTGATGCATTGTACTGAGCTGAATAAATCATGTGATGTGGCACATGACAGATACAAGCCCTTCATGAGTCACAGTACAGAGATGCTTCATTAAATTTGATGAAAACAAACCCAAAATTTCACCTGTGTTAACTGCACAAAGCCACAAGTGCTGTAAGTCCTGATGCAGGGTTATGTTGTAACTGCTGTGGCAATGAAAACCTCTAATTTCTCCCTCTCCTCTAGTAAAGTTCCCTCGTGCTGCACACTTAATCATCAGTGTCTGCTGTCAAATAATCCAGAGGTTATTATTCAAATTGCTGTTTCAGTAGAGAAATTTGTCCACTGATGAGGTCACAATTTTGTGTTAAATCTCTGCTGCTGCCTTACGAATGCCAAAGCACTCCTTGCTACTGCAACACCACTGCAATCAATGAAAAAACAGGAGCTCTGGAGTATAAATTTGGGATTGACACTCATTTCACTGTGACTTTTCTTCACTCTGTGCTGTAAAAATGCCAGTGGATCTGTTTTAGTCTAAGAGATATTCACGTTACACATATTAAGGGAGTTCTGAAAATTTGGAAGTGTGTGAAGGAAAAGGTGCTTCCCATGCCACTGTGGCATGTGGGTGCCAGAGGAGAAGCAGAGCTGAGGCACTCTCCAGCTGAAAGCTATTCCTGAAAGACAAGAGTACAGCTGAAATCTCACCCAGGGCAATGTGATGAGTGAGAGACCTGTGCAGTGAAGTCAGTGGGAAAACTACAGCTGGCTTCAAGAGGAACTGAATGGGCTCTGTGATGAGTTATCTACAAAAAAAAAAAAAGGACAAGGAGAAAAAGCCTGGGTGTAAAAAATCCTCACTGCTCGTGGAAAATGACAACTGCCAGATCACAGGTTCTCAAAGCTGCTTTTATGTACATCACCAGTAACTGTTTTCTGGGATGATCCAGCAATAAAGGACATCACAAACTGCTGTCTGCTTTCACGGAAATGCACCTCCTTTCTGAGGAGACACTCTCAAAAATTTAAATTCCTTGCAAGGTAACCAGAAGATGTCCAGATTAACAGATATTAGACAAGACAGGTATTAGGTAAGAGGTAATCTGAATTTCTGTTGCCAAGAAACAGACTGTATCTCAACTATTGTTCAACATCAGGCAAGGTTTTTGCTGTCTGACAAGACATCATTTCTATGGTAACAAGAAACCCTTTCCCATTCTCCCAGTGCATCCAAAGATGCTTTCCTTACCCATTCTCCCTCTGGGTACGATCAGCAGGCCCCAGATGCCAGCAGCTGGTGTCAACAAGAGCAGCTCCCCAGACCTCAGCCTGCCTCCCAAATCTGTGTTTGTCTTCACAACTGATTATTGGTCCTCACACATTTTATTTGGGCCTCATAATCCAGAGCAGTCCAGTCTATTTTCATGAATCATGAAAAGGGAACTGGTGATGCAAAGGCTCAGACAAAGCTTATTAGTGGGGCAGCTTTCTCATTTTCCCTTCCATGAAGGAGAGTCAAAACTGAATCCAAACTGTGAACATCCCATTGAATACTCCCTTGATCCAATGCAATTTAGTTAAATGAACAAATAATCATCATAGTGCCCAACAAGACAGAAACAACATGCTAATAACCTGAAGGCTTATGGGTAGGTTTTTGGTTTTTCATTTTTAATTTTGTACACAGCAAACAGATTTAGGAACTGATGGATCCTTTCAATCTCTCAAAACAAATCTGATGACTAAGTAATTTGCTAATTGCTACTAGACTGTGCAGTTTACAGGGTTACTTTAATCACTGTTCTCAAAGAACCTTATTTTAATACAGTTTTTTTACTTAGCTCTGTAAAGCAGACAATTTGAACAGTTTCTCCTATTGATACACTAAACACAGAGACGCCTCTTGTCTTTGACTATTTCTGCATTTCTTCTTTCTTTATTTCCTGAAATATCTCTCATTCCATTTGAAGTGACAGAGTTCAAGTAAACTTCCAGAGAGGGAATAAACTCTTTCCCAGCACAGTGCAGGCATGTGCTGCTTACCTCCAAATCCAGGTCTCAGTGCAAAGTCATGGTCCTCTATGTGAAGAAGCTGCTCAGTTTTAACTGGTCGAACCTTTGTGCTGTCAAGTTTCCTCATTTTAATTTCTCGTTTGCTATGTTTAAAAAAAAAAAAAAAAAAAAAAAAAGTGAGAAACTTCATTTATTTCTTCTGCCCTGACATTCACAGTGATAGTCAAATGAAATAGGGACCTTGGGAATACTGAACAGCTGAATCTGGAATGTTAAGGGTAACAACTGTGCTAATAAAGCTGGAGAAAGATATATTGGGAAAGGTTGGGAAATGAGGTATGAGGGTCCCCAGGTCCATGAAGAACACCAATTATTTATAAGAAGTCCCAGGAAGAACTACTAGATCATCTTCTGTTCTCATCAGAGATTGTAGCTATCATTATACAAGAGAACAGAGATGTTTGAAGTTATTTTTCACATAAACACTTGCTAATCAAACTTGGCAATAACACCACATATCCATGGTTTAATCATTTCATACATTATCCATACTACAAAGACAAATAGTTTCCTTTAATTATAAATATGGTTTTTTTTCCCCAGGAGCTCAAATGAGGCAGTATTTTTTTTAGAAGGACAGAGAAAGGATGATCCTGGACCTAGGGACTTGCAGGGGGACTGGCTTTCAGTGGAAAGAGAGTGGGTTTAGATTGGATATCAGGAAGAAATTCTTTCCTGTGAGGCTGGTGAGGCCCTGGCACAGGTTGCCCAAAGAAATTATGGATGCCCATCCCTGGAAGTGTACAAGGCCAGGATGGATGGCATTTGAGAAACCTGCTCTAGTGGAAAGTGTCCCTGCCCGTGGCAAGGGGGTTGGAATGAGATGATCTCATGATTTTATATTCTATTGCACACATTAGGAACACCTTTCTCACAGAAGGGTTCTCATGGTGAGAACAGTGAAACATGGGAACATACTGCTTGGGCAGGTTTTGAGACTCCTTTCACTCAGAATATTTTAGAATAGGTCAGACAAATATTTGCAGGAATAACTTGAATACAGCTGCTTTGCCACAGGCAAGGGACTCTCTCTAGACACAATTTCTTTCATGCCTTCTGTGATTCTCTGGGACTTTGCTGCAAGCAACTATAATTATTACTTTTGACTGAACGATAGAAATGTGTTCTGAAGATTGGCCTTGCAGTCAAACACTGCTTAAGGCAAGGTATAGAATACCTTAGGATAAGGTGTGTGCCTCTATTTACTTATTTTTCTCCTTCTCCCCCTTTTTTCTTAATAAAGAAAACCAAGAAACTACTTTTACATTACAGAAATGATGAGGTGGCTTCTGGGCTACTCAGAATTTTTGGGCTTGAACAAACTCATTTACCTTAGTACTGAATGTCTCTGGCAGTGCTGTCTGAATCAAATTACCAGGGCAATCAGAAAGTCCATGAAGCATTTCAAATACAGACTTTGGTTTTCTAAGTATGAAAATCATGTGGATGGTGAAATGAAAGCCCACGCTTCAGAGAATTAAAATCACCACAGAGCAAGCCTGCATCAGGGTAGAACGGGTAGCATTCTGAACAGCTGCAATGTTCTACATGAGGAAATTCTGCTGTTTGGGATCCAGGAGAGGAAAAAATGATGAATTATGTTCAGAATGCCATGGCACAGCTAATGCTGTTGGGAAGCATGAGGTTATTTGTCATCTGATGTGCCAAGGAAAATGCCTGTTTGATGCTCCACGGATTTCACTGGAAGATGCAGGCTGGAACTGATTCATCTATTACAAGTTCTCACTAGAAGCAAGTCTGTGACTGAGGAAGACTTTCCCTGGACAAGAGAGGCAAAACATAAGCTACCAGGGCAGGAATTTTCTACTTAATAAGCCACTGGGAAGAGATCTTATGGGATTTTAAACCACAAAGCTATTTGGAAGGAATGTGGCCTGCTAGCTGCTCAAGGTAATGAGTTTAAGCATGCTGAACAGATTCTTGCACTCCTGCAAAGTATTTGGAAGCCTATGGAAGTAGCTTCCATACATTGCAGAGGTCATCAAAGAGGGAAAACAATCCCCAAAATGGGAAATTGTTTTACTGATGAAGCAGCAAGAGGGGTTGCAGAAAAAGGCATTCTTGCAGTGGTGCCACAGAAAGAAACAGATTTGTCAGAGTTTACCCCAAAATATGATCAGAGGGATCACAAATTAATTAAGTTTCTTAAGGCTGAGATCAAAGAAAGTGGGTGGGCTGTTACCCCAGCAGGACAGGTTGTAGTTCCACCTTTGCTCCTTCGAGAAATAGCCCAGTGAAAGCATGAGAGTACCCACTGGGGAACAGGAAATCTTTTAAAACATCTGAAGAAGGTAGTAACAGGGAGAAGAATGATTGATACTGTTCAATCTATAACAAGCAAGTGTGAAACCTGTTGTAAAAACAACCCCATATGAGCAGAAGAGTTGTGCTAGGGGTAATGAAGGCAGGAGATCTGGGAAATTATTGGCAAATAAATTTTGCTGAGATGCCATGCAAGGAGGGACACAAATATATACTGGTACTGGTTGATAACTTCAGTGGATGGCCCAAAGCTTACCTCTCACACCAACACAGCAAAGGAAGTAGTGAAAGCTTTGCTCAATCATATAATTCCAAAGTTTGGGGCTCCTTTGGGAATGTCATGACATAAAAGGCCACATTTTGTTGTGATGGTAGTTGGAGAAGTTAGCAGGATTCTGGGACTTAGCTGGGACCTGCACACACCATACAAGGCCCAGGCAAGTAGCAAAGTTAAATGGATTAATGGAACCCTCAAAACCCAGATTTTTAAGATTTGTTTGAGACATCCATGACATGAGTTCAAGCCTTGTCTATAGCCTTGCTGAGTCCACATACAGCCAAGGCAGAGGGACAATGTAAGTCCCTATGAGATGCTGTAATGCAGGCCATATCAGCTTCCACATGTCCCAAGGAAAATTATTTTGAAAGGTTAAAATATTGGCAAAAGTACTTAATGTTCCACTGTGTAGAAGCTCCAGAGATTTGTCATGTTATCCAAGCCAATAGGACTGGACACACCTGCTCATCCATTCCAGCCTGGAGATTGGGTCTATATCAAGTGGTGGGACAGTGACCCCTTGCAAGCCAAGTGAAAGGGACCATTCCAAGTTTTGTTGACCACCCTCACTGAGGTCAAGGTTGCTGGCAAACCGTGGATCCACTACTCCAGAGGGAAGAAAGCTTCTGCTCCCAAAACCATTAAGAAGACAGAGACTGATACAAAACAGGAGGATGTGGTTTAAACTGTTTTTTACATGTCTGTTGTCTGCCCAGCTGGTAACCATGATTCAGGTTTGATATGCAAACCCATGATTTGCATAGGACTGTAGCCCAAAATGTGTCCAAAGTTCTTAATAAGAACAATTGCTGGATCTGTACCCAGTTACCACCTCTAGATGGGGATGGTCACTGGCCATTGATTGGCATTTTAATGGAAGATAAATGTACTGAAAGTGGGAACCAATTCAGAGTATCCTTCTGTCCCCTATGCCCCTGAGCAGCCTGACAGAACACGGGAACTACACAACTCCCTGTGCAGTTGTAAATGCCACAGGAAAGGCCATCCTTCCTTCATATCGTCATAAAACAAATTTCAGAGAAATAATCAGCCCAAAAGTTGTGGCAAAGATGAACTTGACAGGGTGGAGACTGGCTCTACCATTTGAGACAGGATTGTGTTGGATATGTGATGAGAAGGCCTGGAAAATCCTGCCCATTAATAAAGATCAGGCTTGTGTTCTTGGGGCTGTGGTCCCAAATATAACAACATTTGACCATCTTGAAAAACCAAAGATCTCTTAATCCCCTCACTGAACATCCCATACTTTTCCATAATATAGTCAGAACTCTCCTTCCCTCTTATGGAGTGATTAAACTGGAGAGAGGGATTGTAAACATCTCAGCTGTTATTGAACATATCCAGCAGCATACTGCAAATGCTCCCAATTTCATACTTGCCACACAGAGAGGTGTATGTACATGTCAAGGTCAATACCTTGACATAAGAACACTTGTTCTTATGTAGACCAAAGTGGGAAAGTTAAGAAGGATGTGGATAAAATTTGGAAGGGGACTCCAATGTTACATGAAGAAGCTTCCAGAAATGAAACTTTGAAATTTGACCGTATCTTCCACACCCTCACCTCCTGGTAACCAAACTGGGCCTGGATAAAATAAATATTTATAATAACTGTAATAATTATAGTTATCATCTGTGTAATAGCCTGTGGGTTGCCTGGTTGTGTAAACCAGTACTGCAGATAATAGAGGGACTAGACAAAGCAGAGCCTTGTTAGTCTCTAAAAGGAAAAAAAATGTTGCCAAGATTATTTTCTACCTTTTCTTTTATATACCTTTTGTTTAACTTTTATGTATCCTCAGTATTCTTAGCATGCATACTTGTAATTCCTTACATCTGATAACTTAGCATAGCCCTAGTATTTTGTTAGGCCAGACATCCTAAAGGCTTTGTAGTAGGAGGCTGGAAAACCCTACGTTATCTTGAGAAACCAAGGCCTCCTCTAGAACATATCCTGTAAACTAGAGATTTGGCCCATCCAAGGGGAAATTCCATGCACTAATAAGGATCTTTATTAAAATAATGAGGTAAAAAACCCTTATTCCTTAACCGTGTCTGACTCCCAATTTCCCAAGACCAGAAAAAGGCATCAACAGAAGCACAGCAAAAAAACAGATTATATTTCAGAGGCTTCTTGACTGTACAGCTCTCAGCAGCACACCATGGTCTAGGGATCTGAATACAGCCATGGATTCTGCACATTTGTGGCATGGCAGATGTCAAGCTGTGTTTGAAAGGAAAAGCCCACACAGAATCCCAGAACCATTTAGGTTGGAAAAGACCTTTAAGATCATTGAGTCCAACCATTAACCCAGCCCTGCCAAGTTCACCACTAAACCAAGTCCCCAAGTGCCACATCTACACATCTTTTAAACCACTCTAGGAATGGTGGGTGAATCAATCCCTTCCATGGATAGCCTGTTCCAAGACTTGACAGCCCTTCTGGCAAAGACATTTTTGTGAAACCATTAGAAGACAGCTGCACCTAAGGACAGGAAATCTCTCTTTACCTATCTGTGGTAGTAACAAAAAAGAGAACTCTGGTATTGGTGTAGATCTGGGCAATGACAGAAATTTATTGGTCTCAGTGAGGAACATGCTCAAGAAACTACTGCTTCCACTCATAGCTGTGCTTTCCACAGCTGTATTTCAGACAAGGGTTTACATTATGTAAATTAAATAATGTAATCCATAATTATATTCCAAAAGAGGTCATAAAAAGCACTTGAACTGTTTGACATCACGTAGGGAATTCATTCGTTTTGGTACTTCTATATTAAAAGAATGGGAGCACTAAATTTTGGCTGAAAAAGAGTGAAGAATACTGTTTTGACACTTTCCTGCCCAATACTATTGCATGGAGCTTGGTATTTGCCAGAGATCTCAAAGAGGAGTTAGTCACTGCCTACAAAACCAAAGCAGCTTATTCATAAGTAATTAACAATGGACAAAGATGTGTCAGGCTTTCAAAGACAAATTTAGCTGCTCCTATCTAACCTTGAAAACCATTAGTGAATGAAAGGTCAAAGGTCTGCTCAAGGGTACTTAGTTAATTTTTGGTTAAAGCATTTAATCACTTAATGTCATCAGTGTAGCTCCATAAACCAATGGCATGAGTGGGATTGATGTGGTTCGTGTCCCATCTGGTTGTCTTTAACGGGCTATCAAAAGTTTATGGAGGAATCAGACAAGTTCATGGAAAAGAAAGATCACTTAAGATCACTAAATCTGCACAAATTACATCCAACACAGGATGTTGCTGGAGGAAATTTGGTGACTTGGTACACCTGCAAATATTAGGGGAAAATATCTTATCTGCCCTGTCCTTATTCATCCAAGGTTGTGCTTGCAAGCCCTTGTAACAAACTCAGATTAGTACAGGGATCCCTGGAAAGATCCTGCTTAGCTGTTCTTCTGTTTTGGAGCTCTGCTAATGATATGGTAAAAGTTCTTGTAGGAAACTAGAGAAAGGGTTTTTTCCCCTACCATCCTTTCATATTCAGAATGAAACTAGGTAAGTTTATGAGAAGAATACTACTAAAGTGCCTTTTATGTAAAGAATACCGTGGATGCCATGGCCATAAGTTTATTTCCAGTGCTGTGTCCCCAAGATACTCTGACTACTACTAAATCAAAGGTATCAAAAAGGTAGAAGTTACAGAAATCTTATTCCAAGGGGAGTCCGTGGGGTAATAGAGCAGTGTGACCTCTTAAATTTTTTAATACATTCATTAAGCCTTGAAGCCCAGCCAAATGAAACAATCAAAATTGCACAGTTCTCTCTCATATTAGTGAAAATGCATTTCGAATTGTTCAGCAACATCAGCAATAGGTACTGTCAAAAAACTTAGTGTTTTGACAATCAAATGTTTTGTTCTTTGCTGCAGGAAATGGACCACGAGAATAATCGCTTTCTCATGTACTTTTGGTTAATGCTTTAAAATCTTCTTTACAGGAGAATGCAGACAAACAGCTTTGGAGGGAGAATTGGGTTACTCTATTAAAACAGTGGAACTTGTAGGTTAAGTAACATTTTCACAAGGGATTCTTTTTAAAAGGCCACCCATTTAACCAAGGCCATCTGTCAGCTGTGTCCCTAATAACCCTAGTGCTGGCTGAAAGATTGTTCCCCAGAAAGAAAAAGATGCTGGTGGAAAGTCAGACCCTGATGCAATGTACTGGAGGATAATGCAGCCTTTAGAACAAAAGCAGAGAATGAAACAAAGAGAAATTAAACACATTTGGAGAGAAAAGCTGATTTGCTGCTGTTAAGCTTTGGGATCCTCTGTAGCTCAGATTTTGCAGTCTTCTTCCCAGTTCAAAATCACGAGGACCTGGGAAATGAGGATGTGGGATGCCAAAGTTTGCCTTGTGTAAAGCAAACTGCCACACCAGGCAGCAGCAGATGGATTCCTCCTTGTTCCTTTTCTTCCTTACTGATAACACACTTGTGCCTGTCTCAGCATTGTCACGTGGATCCATTTGCATGTACCAGTAAAGATCTGTGATGATGGAGAGGACACTGTGCAAGCACTGGTGTTGCAAGAGGATGCTCATCAGGATGCCACAAAATTTCCTGTCTCCACCAGGTTTCCCTCCAACTTTGTGATTTTTTTATGTCAATGATGGAGCAACTGCTCTCAGCTAAGGCAGAACAGGATAAAAGCAAACAACAGCTGCATATGCAAACAACACCCTCTTACTACAGACAAAAGTGTATCAGATGAGCTTAAAATGGACTTTCCTTGCCACTACCACTAATAAGGTATTTTATTCTGTTTCCATTTGATTCTTAACTGCTTCCTGAAACTGGAAAAGCACCAGATGAAATCTTATGTTGATACTGGGGCTAGATCTGTGTATTTTCCTTTGTTATTACAAATAATTGTGCACCAGCACGCAGACTGTGTGAAATAGCCTACTGAATAGCCAGTTCTTTTAATGAGCTTTTGGCTTGCACCAAACGTGGACCCATAACTTTGAACAGAAACCCAGAAGTCCTGTTGTGTCATCTGTTACCTTGCATTACTAAACAGGATTTTATCAAGACCTGGAGGGCTCCAGAGATATTTCACTGCTGGATGATTGCATGAGAAGTGATACAGGAGATAAACAGCTGTACACCTGCTGCAAAGCATGCAGCTTGAGGGGAAAAAAACAGCTTAAACACATCAGAGGAGTCCAGTTATGTTACTTTTCTTCAAAATGTGATATTATACAAATAAACTATGAGCTCACCTGCTCGTTTTAGTAAGGGGTCAAGCACATTTTAAAATCTAACAGTTGTATCCCTTCTCCTTCCTTAAATGGAGTTAGTTATTCCAAGAAAGAGGAATTTTTCTTGGATTATCACTGGCAGACATTGGTGTGTTCACACAGCATTAGATTAATCTGGAAACAGGTTGAGACCTCACATGGCAGATATGAGCTGCCTTCTTGGGAGAAAGCACTGACACTTTGCCCAGAAATTTACAGGTAAAGACCTCTCTATCACGATTCATTTTCAACCAGCTACTCGACTGAAAGGCCAAGAACAGAGACGATCTTCAATGTCTAAAAGCATTAAGTTTATTCCAGACAGGGAACATCCGGTGTCATCACTACAAATAAGGTGTCATTCACCCCATTTAGTGCCATAAAAAAGTCTTCTGTAGCTTTATAGTATAGCTACTCTGCTGCTTAGGTAATGGAAGTCACTTTGTAATATTGGCATAGGATTTTGGAAGGGATTTCTCCTTACTGTGAAGCAAGGGCAAGAATACTTGAAACATCACAGCAGTAGTCTGGTACCCTTGTATCACACCAGGGAAAAGAGCTGTCTGGGGGTGTGGGTGCTATATAACCACATATTTAGAGATATTCATAAAAACACAGTTTGAAAGGTCTGGTTATGAAAAATCAATTAATACTTCACCATTTCTGGTTTGGGAACATCCTATCAATACTGTGCATGCTATCAATCCAGAGACTGGGAAAACAGGAGAGTGAACCAAAAGGGTGTGTTGAAAGGTGGCTGACAGCATGAAGTTTACCAGATGAACAGAGACAGATAAAGTCTATTTCTTACCTGTTATGTTTTCTTGAGAATGACATTTGTTGCCGACGATGAAGACGGTGATGCTGACTGTGAGAACTGTGTAGCACTGCTGTTGGCCATAGGCAGGTGAGGAACAGAAGTTTCATGACCAGGACCATCTCTTCCAAAAGAGAAATGCACCTGATCACCCAATCCACCTAGCTGACTTCTTATTTTTAAGTGTTTTTACCGTTTAGAAGCAACATAGCAGACGAAAGATGCATGTGCAGCAAGGCATCCCTGAAGAGAGAAGACAGGGGCATCCCAGTTCTGATGGCCTCTCCGAGTTCCCCTTGTATTTTGGCAAATCATAAATATTCCCTCAGCTCTACATCCCTGCAGCATCTGCTGTCCAACCAGAAGCACCTTGTTTTCAGCACTGTGGTAGGTAGGGCAGTTTGCTTGGCCAGGCTGCTTTCCTCTGATCCATTGCTGCCTCTCTTTCAGCAAAGGCGCGTTTTTAAATTCTCCATCACCCGCTCAGTAACCTCTTCAACATAGCCTGTGCAGGCAAAGTGATGTCAACATTTAATCCCCCTTAAATCCCACACAAAACCATACAAAAATCTGCTTTAATGACAAAGGTCTCTAAATTAATCTTGCTTTCTATATATGTGTGTATCTGCTCAAAATCATCTTCTGCACAGATCAAGCTCTTTTGTTAACTGGCTACATTGCTGTCTTCCCAATCATTAATATCAATTCTGGCTCCATCAGCTGCCAGCATTTTGTCAGTACACACACACTTCCTTCTGAACAGAACAATATCACAGTACAAGCCCAAACTAAAAATGAATTCCTGTTTTGATATTCCCCAATACCAGAAAATTCAATTCCTCCCCTCTCCTTTTCCTTCTTTTTACTAAAGTCTGTAGATATTTAATTCACCCAAAATTTACAAGGTATGTGCATGTCTAAGATCCAGCATGCTTCCTCCAGTCCTAATTTTATCTTTATTTCATTTAGCCTGCCCTACCTGCTCAACAGAAGGTTTAATTAAATGAATTAGGTGGAGATAAATACGAGTTCCTGAGCCAGTCTGGTTAAGTTCTGCTTTGGATTCTCTTCTTTCCCCACTCAAGCACAGGCCCAAGAGTAGCAGCAAATGAAATAAAAAGCAAACTACACTGCAGGCTGTGTGATAAAGACACCACATTTCTGCATGTCTGGCTACCTGCACATCCATCAGAGTTAACTCATTTCCAACCACTTTCCTCAGCTATAAAAGAATACAACATTCATATCCTGTCTTCCCTGCTAATTCTAGTTCCCGTTGTTTCCAGATACTGTGGAGAAAGCTGTGTTTTGGATGTTAATGTAATCCTTAGCTGAAACCACTGGCTGTTATCCCCACTAAGCAGGAAACATGGAATGGGGAGAGAGAGGATGCTCTGGGTGCTGAGGTTTATCCACCAAGAGCTCTGTAGGGGACCTGTGGTTACATCATGTCATGCTAATGCAGAAACGTGATGATTTTGTGTGCTGACCTCAAGGAACTCAAAGAGTCCATTAGAAATAAATAAGTAAAAATTGCTTTATGGATTTATTTTCCAGCTGGAAAAGGGAGTGCTTAGGAGTGCTGCTCCAGAGATCTGGCTTTGCAGAATGACTGGCATGTCCCTGGCTAAGCTGCACGTGGATGCCACTCCCTCCAGGAGAGAGGAGTCTTTAAGAGAGACACAGGAAATTAGAGGCTGTTTTCATTGAGCTATCAGCACCCTGCTGCTTTATTACTGCTGGCTGTAACAGCAACCTCAACACTAAGCTGTGCTGCTGAAAAGACTGCTCCATGGAGGATTTCCAAAACATGCTGAATGTTCCTTTGACTACCCCTACTAAAATCAGCTTTAGTCAAACAAACAAAAAGTTTTAAATTAAAAAAAAAAAGAAAAGGGAGAAAGATATGCATTTATTCTGCATGCATTATGCTATGGCATATTTCCAGAAACAGTCCAGCCCACACACATGGAGGGGTGCCCTCTCCTGCAGAGAGGAATCAAAACCACTTCTACTGATGGAAGTGAATATCAGTGAGGGCAAACCCACAGCAACAGGATTTCTTCATGCTAGATCTGTTTTCATTTTCTCTGGGGAAGGGAGCATTACACAGAGCAGATTATAATATCACTATAAATTGCCATTAAGTAAACAGGTTAATCTGCTTAAGCATTTGTCATTAATAAATTCCAAAAAGATCCCTCTATGGAGAAGAATAAAAATAAGGTAATATACTTGGCTTGTGTTGGGCAAGTTGCTGATCAGTTCTTGTGCTTAAACACAGAGCACTGTCTCTTTGCTATCAGTAAAATTATTTCTTTAAAATTAAAAGTTTGCCATGCTTATATTCCCGGGACAAGACCCAGCACATGGTAACAGTGCATCAGCTCATTGGAACAGTTTGCAAACAAGCAAGCAGGGAAAAGAAGCAAAGGTGAACACACCACCTGGTTTCAGAAAATGAGATGCCTTCTTTTAGTCAGCAAAACAACACATCCCTTCTGGTAACTGCAATCTGGAGCTACAGACCCCTCTCCACTACAGATCACAGAGCAAAGCAGATTGACAGCAGCTACCATGAAAACAAGAACAGAAGAATACCAGGGATGAAGAAACGCTTCAGAGGCTGGAATTTTGCAGAAAATCTGATCCCACCTAAAGGCCATTTTGAACACATGGAGATGAAAGACCACAGCACACCAGCACTTTTCGGTCTGTAAATGAGCTGCAGTGAGAAGAGATGCAATGCGGAATGGGGAGTGTAGGTTTACCTGGCAAGTATTGTTTTACTCTCCTAATCAGAGAATGAAATACAAGGAAAAAAACATTAATAAATCTTCTAGAGGCACTCACTTCTTACAAACAACCAGCAAATCACAGAAAGCAGATTAACCACATCTGTGACTCTGAGAGTGTGAATGCAATACAGCACAGCACAGGAATAGGAAGCATTTTGCTTTTCTATGGCAACAGACTCAGTGCAGAGCACATACCATTTATATCATGGTGATTTACAAAATTAATGTTAGAATTAAGGACAGTTTGTCCTGCTTATATTAACACAAATGAAAACCAAGTTTCCAGAATTAAGATACCCATTCACATTTCCCAACAGGATGAAGTGGGAGGAAAGCAGAGACTGGGAATTATGATTCCTGTTTGTAGATCTCAGAACAGAGCAAGTGCCTTTTCTTCTCATTACAGAACAACCTGTTGTTATTTTTCACTAAGGGAATTATGATTCCAGTTTGTACATACAGAACAAAACAAGTGACTTTCTCATTACAGAACAACCTGTTGCTATTTTTCACTAAGGTAAAGGGCAGTTCATTAAAAAGTAAAGGTCACCTATACAATTTCCTGAACACAGTTGTCATGTGATAGGAGGTCTCCTTTGGTGTCCAAGAATCTGGTCACAAACAGGGCATGGGACCTGTACAAAGTTTGCAGCTTTTGAGAGCAGAGCTGGACAGTTTCCACTAAAATGGCCAAAGACTGGAGACCAAATTCCACTTCTGAGACTTGTCCAGTTTCTTATTGTCTCTGTCCACTGCCTATTCATCCAAAGGAGTGTTTTAAAACTGTAGTGTGGGATCCTCACAAGATCATAATGCACCAAAGGCAAGTATATATTTTCCCATATAAAACAGCCTCTAAGTACCAGGCTTGAACAGGTGACTGTGTTTGGCACAACGGTCTTTTCTGTTTTTCCTTCAATTTACAAAATGCAGGCTTTTCTTTGCTCTGGAGCTGTGCTGGCTACACACTTGTTTTGTACAATCAGATATTTAGTTTGAAAGAGTGACAAGAAAAACAAAGAAAACCCACACATTTCCCCTAACTCTTTGCATTCCACATTTCCAGAGCCCCTAAATCAAGGATTCATTCCCTTTCATCATTCTGCCCTGGAGACAACAATCACTGAATTAATTTCACCCCTAGATCCCTTTATTTACCTTCTACAGCAACAACCTTAAAAGTAGAACAATCAGTTTTGCTGCCTCCGGTTAAGGAACATCTGCATCTTGAGGGTGATCTCTGACAAATAAGCAGCCACGTTTTTCCCAGATTTACACTTCTCACAGCCTCAGTGGCAGAAAACTTTGCCTTTCTGCCATCTCATGCTGACCATAGGCATGAGATACAGCTACCCTACTCCTGCATTTTTTCCCAGGAGCAGTTTATAGAGTTTGTTTCTTTATTTCTGTAAGATTTTTTTTTTAATCTTTTAGCCTCTTTCCCGAGTGAGGGAGGATCAAGGGGCTGACCCTTAAGCCTGAGCAATTCTCAGAAAGCGAGTGTTTTCAGCAGCACAGTGTATCCCCAAGAAGAAGGCTACTTTGCCATATGTATGGCCTCAACACTGTGCTTCAATCCCAAAAGCAATAAACACTGCATGAGATTATTTTTTTCCCCCGATTTCCTTGGCAGTCTGGCCAACAGCACAGTCTCTCATCAGTGCTTACCAGTCGGATCCTAACTGCTACCTGAAGTTCTTTTGGCTCATTTCCCCCCCACAGACCTAAAGAAAACAATTCAGCAAGTGTGTTTACTCTTTCCTTGCTGCCAAGTTGATGTGAATTAAGCGTTTTCTCCAGCATTCCCTGTTTGCTGTCCAGGAGTCAACAATATATACCCGATGGGAACTAATTTATGAAATGTACTGCATTTCTACAAAGCTCCTTTTCTGTCACCAATGAACATGAGGAGGAAAAAAATTGTTGAATAGTGGGAAAGAAAATGTGCCTTTCAGCTTTGGCACTGCAAACTTTTTTCATCCTACAGTGAAAATAGAGACAGATTTATTGACTGAAGTCTGATCTCTACAGGTCGCAAAACAGTTTCAAAAGCCATCAGGCACAACTCTCAGTGGCTGTTTTCCAGGCTTTCCTTTCCCATTGATATCTTCCAGAGAAACATATGTTAGCATCACAGAGCAGGTGCTCATTTCAAACTGGAAAGCCAATTTTTACTGCGTGAATTGTAATCTTAAGTAAATATACATTTAAGTTTACATATATTTGAGATTTAAGAGGAGGTAAGTGTATTTGGGTTTTCTAACACTTTAGAACTTCTCTTTTCCTAGTGGCTGATGAAGTAATGTAGTTCTAAATCAATAAAC